CAGCTCTTCTTCTTGGTTTTCTCTGATGCACTAACTCTGCAGCAGCACTTCTTCTTCGTCGTCTCGTCTGATGCGCTCACTCAACCAAGCGTTCTAACCACTACCTCGCCCCTCTCCACCCCCCAACCATTCCAATTTCTGTAGGCGGGAATTATTTGTAATGATATTCCAATGAGCCGTTTTGTGATATCACAAAGCCCGGAAAACAAACGCTGTAGTCCAAACGAGCCGTTCATTGTAGTTCTTGAAAAGGGATTTTTTTAAAAACGAAATATCTCCCTTTGGAGTGGACTTTGAGATTTGTAACTTTCTAGATCTTTTTTATAACCAAACATACACACTACACACTGACTAAAATTAAAAAAGTGAAAAAGCATAATAGGACCCCTTTAAGACGTTATCTTCATGTTTGTGATACCACACTTTACATTAGTGACTACATTTACAGGCAACCCACAAGTCAGTGCTATTGCACATGGAAAACTGGATAATCAAAAGATCATTAACATACAGAAATCTTAAAGGTGCTACAGAAAAAAAAAAACAGCTTGTTTAATTCTAAGGATAGACAAAGGGTGGGAAACTGGTTATGTAAAATAAATTCATTAATAACAAAATAAAGTTTTAAAAAAGTAAATAAATAAATGAATCAAGAATAATATAAGCTCAACATAATAATAAATAAACAAAATAATATAAATAATATAAAAATACAAATATAATGAAATATAAATATAAAAAATAATATAAATAAAACAAATATTTTCATTTTGTATTTTATTTTTGTATTTATTTTATAAGTATAATGACTAAAAAAATAAATATAAAAGTATAAAAATAAATGCAGAAAATAGTTTATTATAAATATCTCAATAAATGCTACAAAATGCAGAATATGGGCCTTTGATGCTATAACAAAAAGCATCCAAAAAAATCCAAACAAAACAATGTCTTTTAATCTCAATATAGTAAAATAAATAAATAAATAAAACTGAAAATAAAAAATAAAAGCTCATGTAAAATATTAATAAATAAATAATATAAATACTATACTATAATAAATACTATACTATAATATAAATACTATAAATAATATAAATTATGCAAAAATACATTGTGTATGTTCTATATTGAAAAAATAGTTCCATGTCATTTGTTACGTATGGTGACATGCAATAACTGATATATTTGAAGTTCCATAAATGTGAAAATAGACTAAAAATGGAGCACTTCACATGCACAATATACAAACTGAAAACCAGACTTCTGAAATAACCTGGGTTGTATAATAATATTGTTTTATTTACTTTTAGATTTGTTTTATAAATATACAAATTTTAAACAACAAATCTGTTATACTATTATAAATATGATATTATATAAATAGAAACTACGAAAGTTTAAGCCTAGTTCTGGTAGTTAGCTCTGTTAGACAGAAGGAACGTCAAGCAGTAATGCTCTTGATATCAAGGGTGCTTGAAGCGCGTTCCTCGGACGCAGCCGGAGCTCACCGTGCACTTGATTGATCTCGGAGTTCTGCGAGAGAATCTCGTCGGCCAGTTTCTGGGCCGTGGGCAGCACTTCCGTGTGGTGGACGGTGATGAGATACTGCACAAACTTCTGCAACTGGTCCCTGTTCATCTGGAATAGAGTCTCTGAGATGGGGAGATGAAGTTTGACCTGCTCGGGCCGCCGTACGCGGTACAGGGACAGCGCCACCACATGAGCGCAGTAGAAGATGTCCTTGTTTCCACAGCCGCACGTCACGGAGGTGATCTTGCAGCGGTCGAAGCTAATGGCTACGCTGCACACCATCTCGGGTTCTGACGGCGTGGCCGGTTCTGTCACTGTGCCGCTCAAATGGAAACCTGAGAGACAGAGAGAAAGAAAGAGCTCAATTCTGGATACGGTGTATGCTATATTTTTCCAACTGTTTGGACAGTCCAGAAAATTCCATAAATGTTTTCTGACTATATTTTCTCCAAGAGCTTTGATGCTCCACTTAATAAATTCTGCATTTTAAATGATCAGGCTTTATTTTTTCAAACTGATTGGTTTTCCTCTAGTCTAGTGGATTAAATAAATAAATAAACAAACAAACATTATTTAAAAAAAATTAAAAATGAATAAAACCAAATAAATAAAAATGCTTACACAATGAAATAAAAACAAAAAAAAACTAAATAAAGGCAAAAATAAATAATTAAAAAATACTTTAAAATAAAAATACTAAATATGAATTAAAAATAAGAAAACAAAAGAAAAAAATGAAATCAACACGTCAAAACTAAATAAAATAAAAAATATATTTGTATAAAATTAATTTTTAAAAAATAAAATAAAAACTCAAGTGAAAGTAAATAAAAGAATTAAAAAAAAAAGAATAAAAAAAAACTAAATCTAAAATAAATTCTCTAAAAAAAAAAAAAAAAATGTATTAAAAAACAAAAAAAAACACAAAAAAAAAAAAAAAAGTCCATAGAAAATTAGTAAAGCAGCCAACCCTACAAATACTTGCC